AATCATACTTAAAGTTGATATTAAAGCGAAATGTGTTCTGCTCTAAACATGGTAAAGTATACAAAAATAAAAACTACCCAAATATCAGATTACTATACTACTTGATTCTTGCTCCCATCAGAATCCAATATAAATGACAATGTTGAAATACATCAAACTTTTTTGTTAGGAGTACATTTTTATGATCACATTTAAAATATATAAAAATGTTCTAATGAACAAAATTCTCAAAATTAAGATTATAATACTATTCCCGTTGCTTTGCAGGTATATATATATAAGTTATCTATTAAAGTATCAACACTTCAATTTATTATTGTTCATACTAACCATACCATGAGATTTCTGTTAATGTTAATGAGAATTCACTATTTGAATTTTGATATAATTGTTGTATAACAACCGTGGGTATTCCTAATTCCATACCCAATCCAACTAATAGAAAGCTCTGCGCTATTGTTGCGAAAACCTGTAATATTTTAATGCGAAATGTGTTGTAGACATGTTTTGTTCTGTTATATTTGTATACATAATAATATATAATTGTTTTACAAACTTGTGCGACCGTTGCTTTTGTTCCGTAGGTTTTCGAAGTATTTTCATTTTTAAACGTCATTGATGTGTCGTTTAAGTAGAACTACAAATTACAATGCTATAAAAAAATTGAATAGAAATCTGAATCTATACGTACGAGTAAGTAATTTGATAAATACTAAAATCAACTGTCAATATCATTATACAATATCTACAAACCATCAACCGATATCAAACACGTCATTAAACATTAGAAGTTTTTCTAATTGAAAAATACACTACTATTGATAGGAATAATCTTTGAATGGTTTTATTGGTAAGCATTGTAAATCATAAATAGTATAGGCTATAGACTATAGACTATAGACTATAGACTATAGACAATACAATCTTAATATTATTTAAGTTATAGAACTAATGTATATAATGATACTATTTTATTTTTATATATTGATTAAAATCTGTAAAGTTTAAATAGTAAAAAAAAAAGCAGATAATAAAAACAATACAATACAATTAAGTAATAAATAAGTTAGACACATCTAAATTTTTTATTTTGCTATGAATAAAAGAAGAAGAGGGGATCTAATTAACAGACAATATTCAAAGACGGAGGTATTGATTTTTATCATAATTAATGGGAGACTTGAGAATGTGTAAAATAACAGAATAATGCTAGAAACGAGAGTATATTTTGTAAAATATTAGAAAYATTTTCTACGGGAGTAAATTATAATGTTAATTAAATTATTAATCATGTAAAGTTAACCACAATATGCTGATGGTCAGCTTTATAATCCTAACGTTTGTATACAGTTACCAAAACAGAAGTGTAATATCCTGAGACCAAACGGCTATGTTGACCAGAGAGGCCACTCTCACGGCCTTATAAAATGTTTTTGTGCTTCCAAACACTAGTTTTCTCTTCGGCAGCAAAGGCCAAAGACCTTATATGACTAAACCTTTTCTAAAAACGCCATACGCTTTAAGTTTTACTGTTATACATACAGGTGTTA